CTTTTCTTTCTCTTTTTTTTTGTTTACTTTTTTGTTCACACAACTGAATCTTAATTTCAAAATACTCATTTTAGGTCTGAGCATTTCATTTATCTGCTTCATGATACTAAAATGTGGTGACAGAAAGATTAAAATGATTTGGGCGGTATAAATTACTAAGACTTGCCTGTATCTGTCAACAACTTTTGGCTTAATCTCTTAGAATTTCAGGTGACACGGCATCTTTACACAAAGTAAAGCACCTCTCAGGTCTAATTTTTGTTTGCTGGATACAAGAAATGCCTTTAGGCTGCTTTACAGTGTATATATTTATAGCCCGCACATTTTTATATTCAACTAGTTTCAACGTTCAGCTTCCATCAGATACTACTTTGAATTTTCTTTGAGGAAGTCTGAAAATTAGTTCCCTTTCTGGGTACTTACTTCCATTTCTGCTCTGTCCGTTTCATACTGACACAGTCTGTCCTTTAAATGTCTGCATTCTTTAATTAACTCCATGTTTCCTTCCTCCAGCATCAGAACTCGTCTGCTCATGGCTTCAAGTTTTCCCGTGCGATCCAGAAATGGCTCTGGGGTATTAAATATTGTCTTTTCACTTCTGGCTTTATTTTGAGCCACTTCTAGTCGCTGTCGAAGCAACGTGTTTTCACTTTGTAGTTTACATATTGTCTCCTTCAAGAATGCCTGCTTTCCAATGTATCTGTTGATGTCTCCTTGTTTGCTCTGAGACAAGGGTTCAGTTTCCTTGTTTGAACGCTGGGCTTGGCCTCGGTCTCTATTCACACATTCTAATACCAACGTCGTTGGTCTAAGAGCATCTCTCCTGGGATGGAGCTCAATTTCTGGGCCACGGAATTGATGTTCAGCTTTGGGAAGTTGCTGAGGAAGCACCTCGCTGCTATCTTTTGGGTCAGACAGCTCAAAATCCATTGTGTCCTGTAAGTGAAACCCCTCATCTCTTACTCTTTGAACTGTACACAATGATATGTACTGACATATCATAATTTCCTTTGAAGTGAAAGACTAATCTCTAAGTTTATACAACAAAAAGTTTGCAGTAACTGGGTATCCAACTGGAAAAACTTAAGGTGGATACAAATCTCAAACTTTAAACAACCAGAAATACCCCAAAGTTCAAAAATTTAATTAAAGACAGTGAATCCATGAAAGTAAAAAAGAAACCACAAAAGGATGTTTAAGAAGCTCAGAATCGGAAAGGCCTTTCTTTCTCTGAAATACAACAAACCCAAAAGGCTTAAAATAAAAAATGAATAAATTTGACTACACTTAAAAATTATATCTGACATCTAACCTTTACAGCTACCCCCAAAGTAAGAGCCTTAGCTCTGTATAAATTGGGACAGGTTAGATTTCCTAAAAAATTCTTTCCTGAGAATATTCCATAAATATTCTCCCTTTCTAACATTTTTAGAGCGAGTTACAAGAATTACATCTACGGATAAATGATAAATCTAAGCACTGTACTAAGCATGTCTACAAACATCAGTTAACTCATTTAGCTGTGACAATTCTGGAATAAAGGGTTAAAAACACAAGCAAGCTGCAGGGTTTTCCCCAGGGCTTCTGATTCTCTGACTTACATCAAACCAAAGCTACTTCTCTAGGATAAATACATAAACACAAGAGAAGCCTTCTATTTCCCTAATGGTGAATACACTAAAGCTAAAGAAGGTCAAATTTGCAGAGCTCTTCTTAGAAAAGCAGGAGACTATTTGCTTCTGCAATAATTTTTATTTCTTCTTCATGGTGTTTATAACAGTAATGGATGTGAAATAGCAGGCAAATACAGTGAACTGTTTTATTAAAAATAAAATACTGATCAATAAATTATCACTAAGTATAGATTATGGCATATGTATCACTGTATTCGAAAGCTCCTTGTACTGAAATCGGATACCACATGCAGCAGAGCGTTACTTTTTATCACGTGTAGGAGAATGACACCCAAACTACGGTTTCTGAACTGGCTATACTTTTTCCTCCTTACCATCAGTGGAAATGATAAAGTAACCTCTCCATTCGTCTATCAAAGGAGTGAGATCACTGCCAGAAACTGGAATGCCTGTCGTTAGTAGCAACAGTTTTGAGATAATGGAAAGTTCATCAATTCCTATGGACAATATTAACAGCCTCTCCTTGGATGAGGCCACTGTGAATGTCACTACGTCACTGTAGCCGGCAAGTGGACTTGAATTCAAAATATCGCTTTATCCAATAGACCGGAAATGAAACCTCCAGAAAATATATTTACATATATAGGCTTTTAAAACCCTCTATACTTTCTGTACCTACAGTATTGGTTTTCAAACTATGTAAGTATACAAATTCATACACACACATGTTTGAAGATGACTAAAGAAAATACCTCAGCATTCATTTTCTTATTAGCCTTTTCTGCCTCCTTTTGTTGGGAAAGATGATGGGACAGGATTTCATCTTGCATTACTCTGGCATTCTGCTCTCGAGAAAGTTGTCTCTGAGCGTCATTTCGCTCTTCTAAAACCTGGAGACATATTTCATTAGGTTTTGGGTTTTATACCATGAAAAAAAAGTCAAAAAAAGCTTAGGAGGGGAATCTTTAAAAAAATTTTTTTAAACCTGTTAAAAAGAAGTAGCCTTTTTAAGCACAGGGACCTTTAATGCACATAAATAACTCAAATTCTAATATACATGACAGCTAAATTTATCACAGAGCAAAAACACAAGGGATGTAGTATCATGAAAGAAAAACTTTTTTACTCTTTTTAAATTCAGTTATAGTCATTTTACAATACTATGTCAAATTCCAGTGTAGAGCACAATTTTTCAGTTGTACATGAACATATATATATTCATTGTGACTTTTTTTTGTGAGCTACCAAAAGATCTTGTATATATTTCCCTGTGCTATACAATATAATCTTGTTTTATCTATTCTGCATATGCCTGTCAGCATCTACAAATTTTGAAATTCCCGTGACAGAAAATTTCTTTATAAGGCATTTAACCAGTTCCATCTAGCCTCGAGGCAATTTAGCCTGGATTTTAACTTCAAAAAGCCAAAATTAACACATGGATTTGAATTAGACTTGTTACTTTGTTGAATGGACCAAAATCATCAATCCTTATGTTAGTGATTAAGCTCAATTTAACTTCCATTCCTTCATTCAGAAAAGACACAGAGCATCTATTAGATACCAAGAACACCAAGAAATTAGTAAATTAAGCTCTAAATGTCATAGTTCATATTTAAGATGAGATAACTTTTGTTTTAAATGAAAATACAGATTAATTCAAAAGAATATTATAAACAATATTGACGAAACAGTGTTAGAGATATGAAGCTTTCAAGTTAAGATCAATTTACCTGATTTGGTTTATTCCTTACGCTCTTCAGTTTGCATTCCAGTCCTCGGGCAGTGCTTTCAAGTTGTTGTTTCAGGTAAACTTGCTCATCGTATTGTTTCTCTTTTCTTTTTAAATCATCCTTAGATTTTTCATATAATGTATAAGCATTTTTATTCTTCTTTGTTTCTTGTTTTAATGTGAATCTGCAGTGAAACATGCTTATCTTAAAATTTGTTTTGTTAGAAAGTAAAAAGTTCATTTTATGATATGGTTCTTCACATGCTGATTTATTACCCCAACGGAATTTCTATGTTCTCTTTTTTTTTTCATTTCTAAGTCTCACATTTTAAATTTCTCACTTCAATCTCTTCATAAAGATACACACACACACACACACACACACACACTTGAAAAGTAGCAATGAAAAGACACAATGCTACTGAGTTTCAGTCAAGAGTAACTCTGGTCAACAGTGTAGGAAAGAAATTTTGCAATTGTTCAGTAAGGTTTGAATTGAAAATTAACCTTTTTCCCCCACATAGTCATAAATTACTCCTTCATTGGGACAGAGAATTTAGTTACTAGTTAAAAGAGAAGTTGCTATTTAGAAACAAGTTTGTAAGTTCATGAGAGATAAAATTTCAACTTCATGAAGTATTACAGGGACTCCTACATGATCTCCAGCGGAAGGTAACATCCACAGGC